CCCGCCGCTCACCTCGTGCCGCGCCCCGCCCGCAGTCTTCTTCGACGTCAGCGCCAACGGCTCCCCCCTCGGCCGCATTGTCATGGAGCTCCGCTTCGATGTCTGCCCCATCACCTGCAAGAACTTCTACGAGCTCTGCACCGGCGAGGCTGGCACCATCTTCGGCCCCGGCAAGCCCGCTTTCAAGGGCAGCAGCTTCCACCGTGTGATCCCCGGCTTCATGCTCCAGGGTGGTGACTTCACCAACCACAACGGCACCGGTGGCAAGTCCATCTACGGTGCTCGCTTCGATGATGAGAACTTCAAGCTGGCCCACGACCGCCCCGGCCTTCTGTCCATGGCCAACGCCGGCCGCAACACCAACGGCTCTCAGTTCTTCATCACCACCGTTGTCACCAGCTGGCTCGATGGCAAGCACACCGTCTTCGGCTCCGTCGTCGAGGGTATGGACGTCGTCCAGAAGGTCGAGTCCCTCGGCTCCAGCTCCGGCCGCACCTCCGCCAAGATCACCATCGACAACTGCGGTGCCATCTAAGCGCGTGCGCTCGTCGGAACATGTGAAGATCCTTCTGTGGCGCGCGTGACCGCCGTGTCGCGCGCACGCATGTGTGTCCACCCCACGTCGTCTGTCTGCTCTCTCTCTCTCTCTCTCCCGGGAGGGAGGGAGGAAGGGGGGGGGAACGCGTCGTCCCTCTCCCGTGGGTGTGTGTCTCCCCGTCCTGCTCTTGTTCCTCCGGTCTCTTTTCGGCTCCTGTGCAGGAGAGGGAGTCCAAGGTCACTTGGCCTGGGGACGTCTGCGCCTCTCCCCCCCCCCCCGATACATTCGCGTGTGCCTCCCACCTATTGTGTTTTTTTCGGCGGCCCGATGGACCTGTGTCGCCGCGCGTCGCGCCGCCTGTGCTGCCCCTGTATCTTAATACCAAAGTTCATCTGCATATATATATGTGTGCCCTTGTGTCTCGCGTGTTGTGTGTCCCTCTCCTGTCATGTGTGTTGCGCGCGTCGGGGCAAAGTGCGAGACTGGTCCATGTCGGCTGCTGGTCATGTACTCCCCCTGGGTTCTCTTCGGATCCACCTCCTTTTGCCCTTCTCTCCCGGTGCCTGTGTGTGGCTGGACACTTCATGTCATCAGCCGGGGAGGCTCCGGCCCTCCTCTTGCCCACAACGTGGGCCCGCTGGCCCTGTGTGTGTGTGTGTGTGTGTGTGTGTGTGTGTGTGTGTGTGTGTGTATTTGCCCGGACTACAAGGTATTCTTTTGCGCACGTTTTTCTCCTTCCTTCCTTTTTTCTTGCCCCCAGTCTGTGTGCATGTCGCCGACCGAGACACGCGGGGTGGCCGTGACATACAAAACCAATGAGGCACTCTCCTCCTGCACCGATGACAGTGGGATTCGCACATTCGGCGTGCCTGCCTCCGGGCGAAGGAATATGAGGTCCAGGCCCGGAGGGAGGCCCTCCACGCACGTCGGCATGGGGCATGGAAAAGGCGGCGAGGGGGGAGCACAGTTGCGCCCCGCGCGGGTGCGAACGTGCGCGTGTCGAAAGAGCACAACAAGAAGCCACGGGCCGGCAAAAGATACACGAAGGAAAATGTATATTGCTATGGGAAGTGGGACACACACACGCGCGCCGAGGATGCCTGCATGATGTGTGTTTCCGGGGGGGAGCGAGGAAATGAGCTCGATCGACCGACCGGGCACACACACACACACACACACACACGCAGATCATATTGGTCATGCACCGGCGCGTGCGGCGGTCGCATGGGAATACACCTGTGGAGCAAGCAAGGGGAAGGTCTGTGAAGGGAGAGGGAGGAGGGGGGGAGGGGGGAGCACAAGAATCTAAAAAGTGAGACGGAGCCAGCGTCTAGGAATGGTGAGGGGACAGCCCGAGGACACTGCCATCGACCCCGGTCGGCGTGACGAAGGCTGCCAGGTCGCTGTCATCGTCGTCGGCGAAGGAGCCGGCCAGGCTGCCAGCCGGAGCATGCAGGGTGCCCAGGGAGGCCGATGCCGCGACCGCGCCCGATGCCGACGGGGGGGTGGAGGGCGCCGAGCGCAAGGTGGCCGTCGTGTGCCCGGTGTTGCCCGGGCGCAGATACCCGCCATCCGAGCGCTCGTACATGCTGGAGGCCGAGGAGGCCGTCCCGCTGCCCCCGGTAACCGAGGACAGATGGTGGGCCGGCCGGCGGCCGGCCGACACGGCACGCACCGGCGGCCGCAAGTCCGGCAGAGGGTCAGCAGCCGGGCCCGACGACCGGGGCCGCATCATGGCGGTCAGGATCTCGGCCGAGGAGCGCCGGCGCTCGATCTGCTGCCGGCCATACTCGGCTGGCCAGATCCCCGTGGACACCATCTCTTCCACATACTCCAGGTAGTGGAAGTGCGGGGACTCCTCGATGACCGACGGCCAGCCATCATAGCGCGAGGTGTCCACCGCGGCCAGGGTCGGCCCGGCGCCGGAGGAACTGGCCCCGGAGCTGGACGACCCGCCCGAGGAGGGGCCACTGCCGGGGCCGCCGCCCGGGGCTGCCCCGGAGGCCGGCGTGCTGTCGGCCATGGCCGACAGCGGCGGGCCACGGCGCACATGCCGCATGAAGTCCCGGAACTCCGACGGGGTCCGCACGATGAAGCCCACCAGCATGTTGGGATCCATCTGCTCGACCGACATCGATCGGACATTGGTGCAGTGGTGCGTCTCCGAGGGGAACATCCGCAGCTGGGACGGGTCCACATGGGGATTGATCGAGTGCGGGTCCAGGAACATGAGCTCCCGCGGGCCGCGGCTGGCCACAAAGTAGAGGCTCTTGCTGGGCCGGCCACCGGCGATGCCCACGCTCCAGGGCAGGTGGAGGAACCCCCGGACACAGGCAAAGTGCCGCGGCTCGATCAGCGCCTCGGGGCCCAGGCGCAGGGGCAGCAGAATCAACAGCGGCCGCCATTGGCCGGTCACCGGGTCGGCCGCCGTCAGCAGGGCCAAATCCGAGTAGATGCTGTTGTACCGGTTGATGTAGACCGCCAGGCGCCGGCGATCATGCTGGGCCATCAGCTGGCGGATGACCAGCGCCGAGGTCAGGGGCCCGAACCACTCGCCAATCCGGCGGTTAAACTGCCGGCCCACTTGGGCAAATTGCTGGATGCCGAACGAGGCCGAGGGGTAGTCCGCGAACCAGGTCAGCAGGGCCCGGTAATTGACCAGGCGGTTGTACTTCTTCGGGGCCTGGTCCAACACCCATCGGCTGGTGTCGGTTGACCGGGTCGGCCGAGGGGCGGGGCTCCCGCCGGTGTCGGAGAAGGAGCTGCTGCTGCTGCCGCCGCCGCCGCCGCCGCCGCCGCCGACACTGGCCGCGGAATCCAGCTGGAAGGCCAGGAACCCCGGCGCCAGGAGAACCCTGGCATACGCCTCGGCCAGGAGCATCTGCGAAGTCCGCAGCATGCACCCCCACCCGGCATCCGAGGTGAAGGCCGAGGGCTCGATTCGGGGGAAGTCCCGGCGGTAGGTGAACCAGAAGAGCGAGTAGAAGCGATTCAGGAAGGACCGGTGGGGGAATTTGGCCGCGGCCAGGTCCTTGGCGGCCGCTTCGGCGGCATCCTCCGCGCCGGCGGTCGTCGACGAGACGGACACATTGCTGGAGCCCAGAGACATGTTGCTCAAGCCCGGCCCCGGGGTTGTGGTCGTTTCAAGCTCGGCAGCCGGCCCCGGGGCCGCCGCCCGACCGGCGACCAGCGCGTCACTCGGCGAGTCCAGCAGCATGTCCACAGGCAGCGAGGGGCCCCCGAGGGGGGCCGGCCGATCGGCGGCGGCGGCGGCGGCGGCGGCGGCGGCGGCGGCATCGGCCTCGGCGGTGATGGTGATGTCCGGGCAGCGGTCCGCCGGCAGGTCCTCGCGCGAGAGGGACCCCACCATGCGCCGGGGCGACACCGGGTCCGGGTCCTCCAGCAGGACAAACGAATCTTCCAACTGGCTCATCGAGTCATCGCCAGAGCCGCTGCCGGAGGCCAGCGAGCTGGACGGATCGCGGGAAGACCCGCCGGAATGGCGCCCGGCCAGCGAGGAGCTGCTGCTGCTGCTGAAGTTGCCCGGCATGCGCATGAACGACTTGAATGTCTCCAGATAGTCATTGGAGCCGGACCGATAGTGGACGGTCGGGCGCCGGGGAGGCGCGTCGGCCGCGGCCAGGGAAACGGTCGTCGTGTCGGCCGGGTCCGCGGCCGCCGCCTCGGCGCTGGCGGCCTTCGTCGAGGAGCCGGATCCCGACGACGAGTGCTGGCTGGAGGAGAGGGACAGCCGCCAGGACTGGATTTTCTTGGCGGGGTTGCGCATGCGGCCCATGAACCGGCTGCCAGAGCTGCTGCCGCTGCCGCTGCCGCTGCCGCTGCCGGCAGCCGGGGCGGCGGGGGCCGTCGGCGAGGCGGGCGACAGCCGGGGCGGCTGGTGCGGGTGCTCGGAGGCAGCCGCTGGTGGCAGGACCCCGGCGTTGGGCAACTCGGCGGCCTGGGGGTCCGGCGCATCGGCCGGCGCTCCGGCCGGCGCGCCGCCGGGCGCCAGATCGTCCAGCGAGCCAAGGGCCGTGGATCCGCCGGCCGACTCGGAAGCGGGGGCGGTCTTGGCCGAGGAGGAGGCCGTGCTGGCGGCCGCGGCCGCGGCAGATGCAGCGACCAAAGGCCGTGCAGATGACAGGTGGGACCGGATCAGGTGTGGCCATTCCCAGGGCTTCAGCGACTGGGGCAGGAGCTGCTCCGTCACGAAGGGAATCAGCTGTGTGGTCCAGCGGTCGAACTCATCACCATTCGGGATGCAAATCATCAGCATGATCGAGTGGGAGATGCTGTGGGCATGGGCGCAGGCGGACGGGCACGGAGGTTAGAAGGGGGGGGGGGGGGGAAGCGGCCCGAGACGCGAGGCAAGGGGGGCACACCGGGGGCCGTACAGATGGATCTCCTTTTCGTGGGGGTGCAAGTGGATCAGGGTGTTGGACAGCATGATCTGCCGGTCGGGCCCGGAGAAGGAGGCCTGCGAGCGGCCGCCTTCGCGCGCGTCAGCCGTCGTGGGCACCTCATGCACAGGCATGTGAAGGGGGATGCTCTCGGGCGGAGAGGGCCCAAAGAGCAGGGCGCCATTGGAGTAGATGGACATCTCCATGCGGAACCAGGGCGCAGCTGGGCGGGGGGGAGAGGGGGGGGGGGGGAGGAGGAGGAGTTAGCATGGGGAGGGGGAGGAGCGATGCGACGTGGCCATGCGCACACCCCGCGGCAGGCATGGGGGCAAGGCGGCGTACCGGCCAGCGTCGGCGCGCGGATGAAGACCTCCGACTGGAGGGCCAAAGAGGCGTGGGGGATGTGCGCCAGGCTGCCGCGGCCGGAGCCGGCATAGTGCGACCCCAGGCATCGGGCCGGGCTGGGAGAGGCGGCCCCAGGGTCCGGGGCGGGCTCGCTGCCGGAGTGCAGGAAGGGCGCCTCGAATTCGGCCTGCATGAGCAGGCAGCTGTCCGGCGTGCAGGTGGTCTCGCGCGGGCAAACCGAGTTGTAGGTCGAGTCGACCCCGATGCTGAGGACATCCGCAAGCAGCCCCTCGCGGAAGACCGGGTGCAGGATCCCCTGGCCGGCCAGGCCGGGCAGCGGCCGGGTCAGACACTCGACCAGCTGGCGGATGGCCGCCGCCGGGGACCCCGGGCCATGGGGATGCCCGGAAGCCGACCCGGGCATGGCCCCCGGCCCCCCGGAGGCCCCGGCCTCGGACTTGTCGCTTGCCGCCCCGGCCGGCTGGAAGAAGCAGCAGATGTCCACCACCTGGTCGTGGATCATGAGGGGCGCCGTGCCGGCCGGGCCGACGGCCGGCGTGTCGCCCTCCACCAGGGACGCATAATCCACCCCGGCCCCGGTGGCCCCGGGGCCGGTCAGCTGCAGCGGGGTGTTGAACTCCAAGAGCGACACCTGGAAGGTCAGGTGTGGCAGGTGCGGATGCTCGAACTCCAGCTGCAGGATGTTCGGGCTCTTCTTGGAGAAGCGGTGCTGCCGGATGGCGCCCGGGTCGCCGGGATTGCCCGAGGCCGCGGCCGCCGCCGCCGACGCCAGGATGCTGCTCATGCTGCTGGTCGAGTCGCGGGCGTCCAAGTCCCCGCGGGCGGTGTACAGGGAAAAGAGGCGCGACTCGATGATGGCCGCCAGCAGGGACAGCACGTGCACCGGCACCAGCGGAGGCAGGGACCCGGGCCATGAGGGGGCATCCTTCCGAGCCAGCCGGGCCAGGTTGCCCGTCAGCCCGAGGAAGATGTTGCGCACGGCCAGCGAGGCCACATTGCTGGCCGTCAACGAGGGCAGCCCGTTCAGGCAGTAGACAAAGCGCGCGTAGCGGCTGATCGACGAGCTGATGGGCAGGAGCTGCGACACCCGGTTGGACAGCTGCGCCGCCGGCGACGGGATGGCCGTCGGGGCGGCCTGCTGCAGAGCCGAGGCCGGCCGGCCAGATGCCCCGGCCGGCCCGGTCGCCGGGCCGCCAGGAGCCCCATGCCCGGGCAGATCCCGGTCCACGGGGTTGCCGCCGACGCCGACGCCGCCGCTGCCGCCGCCGCCGCCACCACTGCTGCTACTGCTGCTGCTGCTGCTGCTGCTGCTGCTGCTGCCCCAGCGCATGGCCGATGCCCGGGCCGCCAGGCCGGAGGGGGACTCGTGAGACCCGGCGCCGCCGGTCGAGGCGCCGGCGGCATCGCCGGTGGCCAGGCCCCCCGAGGAGGCCCCCCCGGCGGGGCCATCGACCGAGTCGCCGAATGCCGCGGCCGCCGGCAGGGCCAGGTGCGTCAGGAGGCTGGAGAGGCACACCAAGCCGGCCGGCGTGCTGAGGGTCGACAGGGACAGGAGGGACGCCTTGTCGCTGATGAGCCGCAGGCGCGAGTAGAAGGGGACCAGATCGCAGGCCGAGTGGGCGGGGCTGGGCACCGGGCCGGCCGGCGGCGCCGGGGTCTTGGACGCCGTCCGGGAGCCGGACGCCGCCGGGCTGGCCAGCTCCACCGGGGTGGCCAGCTGGTCGATGGTGTCGTCGGACAGGAGCCACAGCGGGGGCAGGGTGGTCGACACGCGGACATAGCAGCAGGCATCCGGATGGCAGGCCAGCCCGCAGAAGCACTGGGTGAAGGAGGACGGTGCCAGGAGCATGAGCCGCCGGTCCAGGGTGTGGAAGTACCGGAGTTGCTCCGGGGACAGGACCAAGGCTGAAAAGGCAGGGCGGCACGTCGCACGTCAGTGGGGGCATGCCCGGGGGCAGGGGCGCATCGCCAGGAGGATACCACATTGAGGGAGGGGGGAGAGGGGGGGGGGGGGGGGTCAGTGGGACTGGTGAGGTTCGGGCGATGGTAGGAGCGGAGAGGCAGACGCAGGGAGAGGGCGAGGGAGGGGGGAGGGAGGGAGGGGGGAGAGGGGGGAAGAAAACAACGGAGGAGGGGCCACGGAGGGCAAGCAACGGAGGGAAGGCAACGGAGGGGGGACAAGGGAGGGAAAGGAGGGGGAGGGGCGCGCAACTGGGCCCGCGCACGATGAGGATATCGCTCGATGCCCGCTGGCGCCGGCAC